TACGTTATCTAATTTCAAAAACTATTTTTCTGAATCAAAACTAAACCTTCTAAAATCTATACATTACCATTGATTCATTACATAGACTATTAAAAAAGAAAACATATAGAATATTATGAAAAAATAAAGGATTTTTCTAAATTTAAGGAGTTTTCAAAAGCAATTCCTGATTTTTTTCATAATCTATAACTAACAACTTAGAATATACCAAAACAAAAACAAATACAACTTTTCCTCATTAAATCATTAAATTAAATTAAATCATTAAACACACAACATCTAAAAAAAGTACAGCAATGATGACAAATTAATTTTCACAAAACATTACCTCAATTTTCCATCTTTCCAAACCAAATCATTGAACATATCCTCAAAAAAAACAAAAAACAAAATTTGAGATTCCCCAGATGACTAGTTTAATTTCCTCTGTCCTCAAAAAAAAAACCAACGGAACTGTGTCACGAAAAATTAGCGATAAATGAAAGAAACCAATATTTACCTTGCTTTTATTCCTTTATCGCCGAAACAACGAAAAGATGTTACGTCACAAAAAGTATTTGCGGTTTTTTTTCTGTGTTAATAATAATGATGTGTATTTAAATTTCGCGGAAAAAGATTTAGCAAAAATTTCGTTCCGTCGTCGTCGGTTATCTCATCAAGGTGCTTTCTCGTGTTGGTAAACAAACTCTCTTATCAACAATTACGTTATATATGATACATGTACACACACTCAAAATGATGTTTTATCGCTTCAACTAAAACAAAACTGTATAAACAACTTATGGCAATACAATTTTTTTTAGTTTTAAATTAAAAATTATAATAACTTTCTAAATTTCCTATTAATTTTAGTGCAAAAGATTATTTTATTATAAAATTTAACGTTAAAATCAATAAATTTGATTGTGTATAGTTTTATCACTATTTTAACTCTTGAACTAAAAGACAATTACAATAATATTCCAAAGTGTCTATGATTTTGACTCCAAATATAGATTTATCGCAGATATGCACACTTTATGTTATATAACAAACTGATAATAATTATAATCTATTAATAGTTTTATTATCATAATTAATTTGAAAGAAAAATGGAATTATTATTTATTATTAATTTATAAAAAATGCAATGATTATTGTTATCAAAATCGATAATTTTATGTACAAAAATACATTTATAAAACTTCTCTCACTTAGCAATAAACGTAATTTCAATAACTAGAGAATCGCGTAAACAAAGAAAAAAACAAAACTAAACAATTGTATCATAATTGTTTACAACAAAATTCAGACCGAAAAAAGTGTTATCAATAATTAATTTAAAAAAAAAACTTTGATTAAATTCTGAAAAGAATAATTTATAAATAACAATTTTTAGTTTAATTGTTGCTATGTAAATATGAAAAATTAACTTATAAACGAATCAATTTTGTATTTTTTTCTTAATTAAATTAATAAATCTATAAACTCATTAATTAGCACTAAATTATAACACAAAAATAACAAACGCTGCGAAGTTGTTTTCGTTGCTAGGAAATACAAAACAAAATCGAAAATATTTTTGTTTTGGCATTCTCAAAAACAACTGATTGAGTGAACGCTGTTTACTATTACGACTTCCCAGGCGATAAAACAAATATAAAACGCACCAAAAAAAAAAAAAAAACTTCTTAATTCCGCGAGACGAAAAAGCGAAACAAAACACGTTCGATAAGATGCACTTGTTTCGCATCGAGAAATAAAAAAAACAAAATAAACAAACGAAAAACAACAATACTCGATAATTCCAAGAAACAATTGCAGATTAACACTTTCGTAACTTAAAAGACAAAATACATTATAAAAAAAAAACTGTTAATTATAAAAATATGGAATGTGATTTTTTTTCTTAATCTAAAAGAAGTTTATTAATTATAAATGAAAATTTACGTGTTTTTTTTTCAATATAATGTACGTTATTATAAATATGCTGAAAGATTTTTTTTTTAATTTCGAGATCAAAGGACGAATGTAATGAGAGAGACTCAACTTCTTTCTCTTACTTTTTACTTTTGTGTATTTTTTTTGCTTCTTTAAATTTCGTCTCTCGCCAATCGCGGATTCGTTTTCTTCTTTTAATAAAGTTAGGATTTCCTTTGAATTGTGTTTTAATAGAATTTATTTCAAGATTTCTTTTTTCTTTCTCCGTCTTTATTTTCATGCGAAACCAATAGACTTCGAATGAAAACGTATTCCATTCTATTCCACGCATATTGAAATCTATATTATTGCCTTTTATTTGGAATTCCAAAGCACAAATTCAGATATTTTCAATAAACTTACCGTTAATTAAATCAAACAAGCTATAAGAACTTTGCCAATACTTTTTTCAACTTTTCAACTGTTGAAAGTAACTTTCTTTTAGTTCACAAGTTTTCAAAATAATACTGTAATTGCGACAAAATAATTTGATTTGATATTTGTTTGCTTCGTTTCCTACGTGAATATTTATACATTTTCTCACTCTTTCTCTCTAAGTGTGTGTATTTGCGAGGGATGAAAAGTCCCCCTTTAAAACCAGCCGCCTGCGACTCCATCGAGTCCAACAGGTGGCCGCACCGCTTGATATCTGTATCAAAGCCGTGGAGGAAATCAAATAAACTGCAAAAACCCACCCAGATCCCCGCGCGCCCAACAGAAGCAAAAGTGTCGCAACGAAAGGGATGAAGATGTTAATCAATTGGAAATCTAATATACGCAACGCCACCCCCGCGTTGAAACAAATAAAGAGGTGATCCCAGGAGGCGGAGGAGAGGAAAGTTATCCGATTCCGGGGTTGATTCGATTTGCGTAATCCCGGTTCTTGGAAATTTGTTTGTCGACAGAGGGAGGAGGAGAAAAAAGCGTAAATGAATCCGCGCGCAAGAAAGAGGAATTTCGTCGAGAGAAACGCAAATTACTTATATTATTTTCCAGTTTCAGAATACTCAAGTGCCCTGTTTACTACGAACGTATTAATCTCGTTGAAAATAGTATTTACCTAGTGGGAAACTTATTTTTGTCTCGTTACTTTGTTACATCATGTTTTATATTTAATAAAATTTTTTGTGCTTGAAATTCCAACTGAAACAATACGAAATTACTTAGAATGGAAACAATGTTGAATGTTTACAACGTTTCAATCGAAAAATATAAATTTATTGTTTTCATTGAAAATTTTTCAAATTTTCTTTAATTTTAATAAACATTCACTTCTTTTCCAATTTCTACAGCTCATAGCAGACGACTCGATGATAGCACTTAGATGTATGTAGGTTTGTTGGAAAGGCGAGATATTCAGCTTTCATACGAGTAGCAGATGATGTAATTACATGAAGGGGTTGTGGAGAAAATTACGAAAAACTGTAAAAACTGAATAAAAACGAGAAAAAAATGTTCTTCAGCTTATAACAGGCGACTCGATGACACTATAAAGATGAATGTAGGCGCGTTGGAAAGGTGAGATATTCAGCTTTCAAACGAGTGGTCGATGATGTAATTATCTTTTGGGGTTGTCGAGAAATTCATGAAAAACCAAACCCACCGAAAAACAAACGAGAAAACCATGGTTTCTCTGTTACGTATAAAACGTTAAGTATGTGTTTTTTTTTCAATTTCTACAGCTCATAGCAGGCGACTCGATGACAGCACTAAGATGTATGTAGGCTTGTTGGAAAGGCGAGATATTCACCTTGCATACGAGTGGTCGATGATGTAATTACATGAAGGGGTTGTGGAGAAAATCACGAAAAACTGTAAAAACTGAATAAAAAACGAGAAAAAAATGTTCTTCAGCTTATAACAGGCGACTCGATGACACTACAAAGATGAATGTAGGCGCGTTGGAAAGGTGAGATATTCAGCTTTCAAACAAGTGGTCGGTGATGTAATTATCTTTAGGGGTTGTCGAGAAATTAATAATAGAGTCTTAATATTTCTAAAGTTTCTACAATTTGTTTTCGACCTCTCGATTTCATCCATTAAAACAAATGTAACCATGGTAACGCGTAACGGACCAATCGGAAACTAGTATGTGTTCACTGTTTCAACAGGAGACAAAATGCAGAAAATTCATTAGTATTAATGTTATTGCACCGTCGCGGTTTACGCGAAAAATCAATTAGCGTCCAAAATATGGACGCATTTCCGCTTCCGTTCCAGTTTTGAATTATTATTATAATGTATATATATAGTATATATACACACACACATACATACGCGTATATAAATGCAACGCAGGGAAAATTTACGTAACAAATCTATTTGCGACACAACCAAAAGCATACAGTCAGTGCGGACGCGCGGCTCGCAAATCCAAACATATTGCAAATATTTTTGTTTTTGCGGAAAATGGGGAAAACGACCGTGCGCAAATATTAACGTAGAAAATAAACGAATGAAAATAAATTATAAAAATTGTAACAAAAATTAAAAAAAAAATCATTGTTTTCTAGCACTAAAGTCATAAAAATTGATAATAATTTAGCAGCGACATCTAGTATAATTATAGATATCAAAAATTCATTGAAAACTCGTACTTTCCAATTGAAAAATTAATTAGTTCAAAATAATTATTTCCTATTTAAAAAAAATCATTATTTTCAATGAAACTTTGGTATTAATCAAAAAAATCTAAATTTTCAATGAAATTCATGTATATTTCATTGAAAAATTATAAACAATTATTTCCTATTTTTTTCAAAAATTCATTACTTTCAATGAAATTCCTTACTTAATACTCAAAGTTTTCTGCACCTAATTTCTAATATTTACAAAAATTTCATTTAAAAAAAAAATTGTCAAAATCTTAAGAAATAAATTAAAAAATTCCTAAATGTACAAAGAAATCAAAACGTTTCAGTTTAAATCTTTCAAAAGAAAAAAAAAACACGTAAATAATATAAACGAAATTTCGAAAAATAGCTTTCAGCCTGATTAAGTGCAAATATTTAAGTGTGAAAGTGAAGGGGTCAAAGGAGGGGCCAATCAATTAATATGCTTTATTCATTAAGCATTTGATAGCGATAACAAACACACACAAAAAAATACGAAGAAACTCGTAGACTCGGGAGTGAGTGAGTGAGTCAAGGCGTAAGCAGAGATAAGTCGAAAGTGTGTATAAAACATTTGGAGTTTCGCGTATCACGAACAGTGCATTCCGAATATCAAACAACTGCGCCAATTATCAAACAATAATTTAGTTCTTTACAACAACAAAAAAAAAACTAAGATGAAGCTAGTTTTAGGTGTTATATTCGTAGCAATTTTTGGGTAAGTTGTAAGTTGTTTATTAGTGTGAAAATATCCACAAATTGTTGAAGAAAATTGGTGTTGCATAATTAAATAGTAGGCGTATTTAAAATCCGCTTGTCGCATCGGACAATTGTTTTTTTTCTTCTTCCTTGAAACAAAAGCAGAATCGTGGCACACATTCAATCTAAAAATAATTGCGAAAGGAATCGATGTTTCGTAATTACGTAATTGCTCGGCGACTGATTGACTGACAGGATTGGGACGTGCTTCTCTTCTCCTTTCAATGTATAATTTAAACGCGATCATCTCGCTCTCTCTATCTCTGTTCTACATAGATTTGATCTATGCCGTTTCCGTCTCCCTTTAATCTCATCCAACATTCACCAGGTGAATAATTGAATTGCCGAAAGGTAATCACAGAGAGAGAGAGAATGTACACACAATCATACTTGGAATACCGTGAATCTCCACTTGGAAACTAATTACGGTCGAATGGTTAATTTGTAAAAAAATAAAGTATAAATAATGAAAATTAATGATTTTATCAAGAAATTAATTGTAAAAAAAATGAAAATTTTCAGTAGAAATTTGGAAGAAAGAAAAAAATATTAATTTTAAAAATCAATTTAAAGAGTTTCAATTTCATTAAGTTCATTGAATTTTGTATTAATAAGAAGAAATGTATGTAAATTATGAAGAACCCAAATTTTAATACAACTAACTAAAATTAGAGTAATTTTGTTGAATTTGAATATGAATGTAACAATACGAATGGTTAATTTGTAAAAAAATAAAGTATAAATAATGAAAATTAATGATTTTATCAAGAAATTAATTGTAAACAAAATGAAAATTTTCATTAGAAAATTGGAAGAAACAAAAAAATATTAATTTTATAAATCAATTTCATTAAGTTCATTAAATTTTGTATTAATAAGAAGAAATGTATGCAAATTACGAAGAAACCTAATTTTAATACAACTAACTAAAATATGAGTAATTTTGTTGAATTTGAACTCAATAATTGAATTTGAACAAAATTACTCTAATTTTGTAACAAATCAAAACATATTTTTATGTAGGAGCGTTGAAAAGGTGAGATATTCAGCATTCAAACGAGTGATCGGTGATGTAATTATCTTTAGGGGTTGTCTTCAAATTTCTAATTGAATTTGTAAGAAAATTTGGTTTAAAAACCTCATAAATTAGATCACATTATCATACATATTGGTAAATTGCAGATTTTTTTTTCAAAATTTATAATTTTCTCTATAAATAGAGTCTTAATATTTCTATAGTTTCTACAATTTGTTTTCGACCTCTCGATTTCATCCATTAAAAAAAATGAAAATTTTCATTAGAAATTTGGAAGAAACAAAAAAATATTAATTTTATACATCAATTTAAAGAGTTTCAATTTCATTAAGTTCATTGAATTTTGTATTAATAAGAAGAAATGTATGTAAATTATGAAGAACCCAAATTTTAATACAACTAACTAAAATATGAGTAATTTTGTTGAGTTTGAACTCAATAATTGTTGAAATTTTGAACAAAATTACTCTAATTTTGTAATTTTGATCTGTTATTTTTTTTGGAAAAGTTTATGGAAAATTAAAGCAATTGTACGACAAAAATATGCAGTTTCTATCTAAATACTAATTACATAATAGCTTTAAAGAAATATTGAATATAAAAAAAATATTTGAAAAAAATATTTAAAATTGTAACTTTTTTTGCAAAATACTTACATACTAAATTTTCAATTTGTTAGATAAGTCAATAATGTAGCTAATACATCTAGTCATATACTATCAATTAGAAAAAAAACAATGCAATTAAAAAGTTTCGTTAATTATTTGCCTTTTGGTAATTGAAACTCGCAAATTGCATATTTTTTGTTAATTATTTTTCTAATTATAACTGCAACTAATTACAAATAGATATGCAACAAACGGAAACGCTTTGGACTTATTAAAGTCCTTAAAAAATATTATAATTTACATATGGATTAGTTTCTATAACTCAATTAGTCTGGTTTCATTATGGTTTCATGATTATAAACGTTTGATTTCTATATCTATTGTTTCAATAAGTAATTAACAGATATATTGTGTATAATTTAAGTGTAGATTGTCCGTTTTTGTGTTCTTTCAAACAGTTTTCATACTAGATTTTATTTCACTTTGCGACGTGCGCTCTTTTTGCAGTTACGAATTAACCCAATATTATTGTAGCAACTCGAGAGGTGAGCCGCTGAGCAATTACACTTTCCCGGATGACTTCAAGTTTGGCGTCGCGACGGCGTCGTACCAGGTGGAAGGCGCTTGGAATTTGAACGGTGAGAAGAATAATAGAAGAAATGTAGGTGAAAATATAAATATATATTTTTGGTAATTAGGTAAAGGTGAGAACGTTTGGGATCGCTACACGCACACGCATCCCGAGAAGATAGTGGACGGAAGCACCGGCGACATAGCCTGCGACTCTTACCACAAATACAAGGAAGATGTTGCTTTGTGCAAGGAGTTGGGAGTGGATTTCTACAGGTTTTCGATATCCTGGAGCAGACTTTTACCGACCGGCTTCATTAGCAAGGTCAACCGGGACGGATCGGACTACTACAGCAAACTGATCGATGAGCTCCTGTCGAAAGGGATCGAGCCGATGGTGACGATGTTCCATTGGGATTTGCCGCAGCCCTTGCAGGATTTAGGTGCGACCTCCAAATCTAAACCCTTCCTCGTTCCCTCCTCTTCGCACACACAGTTACATTAAAACCGCAGCTACAAAACTAAGCGAATTAATTTGCAGGCGGCTGGGCTAATCCCAAGTTGCAGGACTACTTCTACGATTACGCGAGGCTGCTGCTGCAGCTGTACGGGGATCGCGTGAAATATTGGATAACTTTTAACGAGCCGAAAAACGTGTGCCGCTTCGCGTACGGTGGACCACTTCTGGCTCCAGCTGTAGACTCTAAAGCTGTAGGGATCTACGAGTGCGCTCACACCATTCTGAAGAGCCACGGTCAAGTCTACAAGATGTACGATGAAGAGTTCAGGCGTAGTCCAGAAGGTCAGTTAAAAATCTACTTTACAAAATCAATTATCAAATTTGTTATATTCTAGGCAAAATGGGTATATCTTTGGATATGATGTTTTGGATGGTCCCAGCCACAGACAGCGAATTGGATAAGGAAGCCGCAGAAAGAAGTCTACAATTCAACGTAATTCTTCAACAAAAATAAGTGGATTTTTGAAAAAATTAATTTCTTTGATTTATATAGTTCGGTTGGTTCGCTAATCCGATTTTCGGAAGCGGCGATTACCCGGAGGTGATGAAGAAATTCGTAGGTAGGAGAAGCTCTTTCGAAGGTTTCAAACAATCGCGTCTACCGACCTTCAGCAAGGAGGAATTGGATGAGATCAAGGGAAGCGCCGATTTCTTAGGATTGAACATGTATTCGGCTATAGAAGCTTCGCACGTGGAATTCGAAAATTCCACAGACGAAATCTCGATGGACGTGGATATTCAAGCGAGCTACAAGTTCCAGCCGGAGTGGGAAACCGCAGCTTCGTGGTGGCTCAAGGTCGTTCCGTGGGCCTTCAAAGATACTCTAACATGGGTGAAGAGAACCTACGAAAACCCAACGATCATCATCACGGAGAACGGTATTTCCGATAAAGGTGGAAACGAGGATTACAACAGAGTGAAATTCTACGAGGTAAAAGAGAAAGGATAATTATGAAACGTTCAACTAATTTCCATTTGTAGTTGTATTTGAACGCGATGCTCGAGGCGATGAACGAGGAAGACGTGAACGTTATTGGATACACGGCTTGGAGTCTCATCGATAACTTCGAGTGGTCCGACGGATATACGTGAGTTCGCAGCAGATGCTTTATTTATTTTTTGTTGTTGTTAATCGCGCGTTATGCATTTGCAGGAATCGATTCGGTTTGTACAGCGTCGACTTCGAGAGTCCTGAGAGGACGAGAAGTCCGAAGCTCTCGGCGAAGAGCTACAAGGAGATCATAGCGCGAAGAAGGCTCCCCGAGGAGACCGTTCAGATTCCGATCACGCAACGCTTGAGCGCACGCTTATCCTTGGACGAAGTCGTCCCCTCTTCATCCACCGCCCTGACCCATTCGATTCAACTAACCCTAATCCTAATCCTGACCGCGCTGCTTCATTCCATCCATTGACTACCCAAGACTTAATCCTATCATGATTTTTGTACTTTGTAGTATTGAACAATATTTATCGTAATTTTAACCAAAATAAAAATTAATTAATATTCTACTTTTTAATTACTTCTTAACCCTTATTGCGATTACCTTATAATTAATTGAAAACTCTAAAAAAAACTAAGATAAGTTAATAATTTAGCCTTTTTTTGTAATGGAAATTTAACACGATATAGGCAACTTAATTTGCATCAATTAATAAACAACTAGCAACAGCAGCAGCAGCAACAACAAGAAGAGAGTGTAAAAAAGCAGACAACGTTCGATGGACCGTGAGGGCGTATCAATTAATGTATCATTAGGGTATTAAATAATCAAGGGGTCGGACGTGTACGCCGACCGAAGTTGTCTACGAGCTTATCCGTGTTGCGCGTCTATTATTCAAACGGCTTTCCACGAAACTCCCCCTCTGTTATGCAATTATTAATAACGCCGGTTATCCGCTGATAAAAGCCGGAGCGTCGCGACGCCGCGCGTCAATTACGACCACGAAATGCAATGCGCCGAACACGTACACTTCAGTACCTAGAACCGTTTGTGATAGACAAGTATAGAGAGAGAGGAGGGCACATTACTACCAACTACTATAGAACCGCGACGCCCTAAAATATTCACACTTACTTGTTCGCTTACAAAGATGCAAAGGGATGAAAATTGGCTTACCTGAAAACAAACAGAGAGAGTCATTATTAATAAATTTGTTATAATAATTACTTATTACTTGTCAAGTACTTGAGTGATTGTTGGACGTATATATTTTAAACTTTTATAGTTCATTCAATAAATAAGTGATAACGCTTTGAAAGCTTCAAACATTATTATTCTATTTCCTTTCAGCAAACGTCTGAAAGTATAGTCTTCAAGTGACCATTAAATTTCATTAAAGAGAAGTGCGGTAATCGCAAGAAACAAATAAATAAATATAAATAAATAAAAACCAGTGGGAGAAATGAGTATAAATAAGGAAGAATGTGGGGTTTGGACGGTTTATTCCCAACTTTTTCCACTTTGCCTAGTTGGGTTTAAGTTTAAAAGCGATCCCCTGGAAGGGACATAAAGTGCACTTGGTCCACTTCATTTGCGAAGTCCTCAATTTCAAAACTCTCACAGAGGAGGAGAGCAGCAGCAAGCAGCTCGTGTCCTGCCTTCTCCGCATTTCACTTACGCCCGATTTTACATATATACACGTATCTCGTATATTTAGGTTTATTACGCGCAAAATCGTAAAACGTTATTAGCCGAAATATATATATAAATTACGCACTCGGAAAACGTAAAAGCAAGCGGATACATTCAAAACAATCGCTTATCCGAAGGAATTCCGAATGAGACTAAGCGTGGATGCGCCGGGTACCGTTTGCATATTTTATACGGCGTGCAAAGTGTTTGATTCGATTTTTATGTTGCTGCATGCGCCGAAAAAGTTTTATTTTCATAGTCGGAAACGAATATTTATTCATAGCCGTAATCCAACTAAATTAATAAAAGCAAAATATTTATGACAGTTTGTTAGGTGTTTTTTTTGTTGAAGCAATTGACAGTTTTAACGAAGACAAATTGGATCAAAAAAAAAACGTTAATTTTCAGAGAGATTCATGGAACGATTTTCGAACGCCAATAATATAATCAAACAACAGAAAAAAAAATCAATAAATTACGTTTACAAAAAGGTCAAATATTACAAGTTACAAGCTTCTGATATTGTTGTATCCTTTGTCATTTAGCAGTAATTGACTGTTAAAGCATCTAAAAAGTAGTGTCTTTACATTGCTTATATCTCGAAAAGTATGAGAGACAATTTAATTATTGAGCCATCAAATTAAAGCTAAACATTCACTCTTTAAAACGTATCTTCTGATAGTATTATATCCTTTGTTATTTAGCTGTAAATCACTGTTAAACTTGAAGAAACATTTTTTAAGAATCGAAAAAGCAGTGTCTTTACATTGCTTATATATCGAAAAGTATGAGAGACAAATTAATTATTTAGCCATACAATTAAAGCTAAACATTCACTCTTTGAAACGTATCTTCTGATAGTGTTATATCCTTTGTAATTAAGCTATAATTTACTGTTAAACTTGAAAAAACGTTTTTTAAGCATCGAAAAAGTAATGTCTTTACATTGCTTATAACTCGAAAACTATGAGATACAAATTAATTATTGAGCCATCAAATTAAAGCTAAACATTCACTCTTTAAAACGTATATTCTGATAGTATTGTATCCTTTGTTATTTAGCTGTAATTCACTGTTAAACTTAAAGAAACGCTTTTTAAGCATTGAAAAAATAGTGTTTTTACATTGCTTATAACTCGAAAAGTATGAAAGACAAATTAATTATTTAGCCATCAAATTAAAGCTAAACATTCACTCTTTAAAACGTATATTCTGATAGTGTTGGTTTCTTTGTTATTTAGCTGCAATTCACTGTCAAACTTGAAGGAACGTTTTTTTAAGCATCGAANNNTATTTAGCTGTAATTCACTGTTAAACTTGAAGAAACATTTTTTAAGAATCGAAAAAGCAGTGTCTTTACATTGCTTATATATCGAAAATTATGAGAGACAAATTAATTATTTAGCCATGAAACTAAAGCTAAACATTCACTATTTAAAACGTATTTTCTGATAGTGTCGTATCCTTTGTTATTTAGCTGTAATTCACTGTTGAAGAAACGATTTTTAAGCATCGAAAGAGCAGTATATTTACATTGATTATATCTCGAAAAGTATCAGAGACAAATTAATTATTTAGTCATCAAATTAAAGCTAAACGTTCACTCTTTAAAACGTTAAAACGAAAAGTTTGTAATCATTGAAACCGTACTAATTGAGGACTTAAAAACACATAAAAACTAAACAGCACAGAAATAGATACTTAAGTGTACAGAGAGGAAAAAAACGATCATTCATGTATAAATAAATAATTGTGTGTATTAATTTTTTAGAATTTATTCTCCAATTAAAATTTAATTTATTTCGAAATTTTTAAAGCGTACTATAGTGAAGCAGCACTGATTGAAGCCGCACGTATTGCTGTATAGTAATAAAAATTGAATGAATTCAATTGAAAATTGATTCATTTTATAAATCATCAATTTACAAAACAACAACAACAAAAATTGTTTAAATAATTAATGAAATATTAAGAAGTTTGAATAAAAAACTTAAGTATTTCATTTATGACCTAATTCGGAAAAAGTTTGCCGATCTTCGCCGCACTCTAGCGGAATTCATTT